CGGTCTTCTCGGCTTGTAACATGGTGCTCCGACTCTCTTACTAGCAACCTTCAACTCTTTTGTGTGGCAGGAATCTTGTTCTCACCTTCCAGTTCTTCCACCCCAGCCTGGGTCATTAGATCTGCGATGTTTTTCTCCAGATCATCAATGCGACTACTCATGTCATCAATTCTTCCAATGATCTGGTCGGACATGGTCTGAAATTTATCTTGCATCTGTTGCAACAGTGTCTGGACCACCGAGGTGAGATCCTGCACGTTCTTGGGGTCGGTCTCGGCCATCTCCCCGGTGCCCAGCTTGGCGGTGATGTCTCAGACCGTCAACCAGATGGTTATGTTTTGAACAGCCAATCTGCTGAAAGGGAGTTTTTCTAGGGGTATGGCCTGCTTCCAGTATATCTATGGACATCCTGGGAAAAGAGACATTCTTCTGTGAATCAGGATTCTGTTGTGCTGCCTACAACTGTCTGTGAGTGAATAATCCACCATTCGGCCTGGAGACCTTGAATTCATCATTCTTTGGAGTCAACAGCTCGTGTACTGCTTGCCAGACTTGAGCTCCTCAGCCCCTGTGGCTGCAAGAGTTGGAAAAAGCCTCCAGCTTGACGTGGAAAAGCCTCCAGCTTGACATTTGATCCAGGAACTTTGGACTTGCTAGCTTCTATAAGTGTGTGAGCCATTTTCCTAAGATAAATATCTCTGTGTGTATGTATATATATATATATATATATAAGCTTTACTAGTTTTCTTTCTCTAGAGTACCCTGTCTAATACAGTCTGTAAACTGACTCAATTCTGAGAAATGATTGAATGATTGAGAGGCTGTGACTCTGAATTCTGGTGATTCAATCTAGGGTGCTGTTCACATGACCTAGAATTTTTTTGTCTATACAGATCAAGTAAATATTTAGTAGTTTTGCCATGTATTTCACTACTAGGAACACCATGCCTAAGTAGCCAATGCGATAATTCCACACATTTCAGAGTATTCTGACTACCGTTCTGACTGTGCTGTCCATAATGGTAACCACACCAACCTTGCCTTTGTCTATTAACTGCTGCCACTTGGCCTTTACTAACACGGGGTCCAATTAGCCCCATTGTAGTTAAGTGTCTTGCTGTCAAATCCAGATTACATAAAATAGCAATCACAACAGTCTTCAAGGATTCTGGATCTCCCTTCACAAATTTATTCCTCACTCTACTGGTGAAAGGCATGTCTTCTGGACTCTCCATTTCTGGCTCTAGGGTTCTAATCTGATAAATCTATTCTAAAAGGCCAATTTCCCCAAGCCTCTGGATACTTTCTTCTACATTATGCCAAGGCAGGTCTTGTACTTCAACTTGACTTAAGTTAGGCCATCACATAATCCATGCTTCAGTAAGCCAACCAAATAAAGTATTAGATCCTTTCCTAACCTCTTGAGCTGAAACATTGAATGAAGAATCCATACTTAGTGGGCATAAATCAATAAACTCAGACTGATCCAATCTTACATTCTTTGCACGATTATCCTACAACCTCAGTAGCCATTCCCATACATATTCTCCAGGTTTCTGTCTGTACATGTTAGCAAAATCAGGTGGGTCTTTTTGGGTGTATCCTAACACCTCCTCAATCACACTTTCTATTTCACCTTTTGGGGCTCTCTTGGACTTAACTTTAGTTATAGGTCTAGCAGCAATAATGGGAGGTTGAGGCAGTTCCTGAGAACATTCAGGAATGTCTTCCATGGCCTCTGCCTCAGGCAATGACCCAGCAGGACCAGTTTGGCTAATCCCATCAAACTGAGTTTGGGGGAATGATTTTACAGTAATCCCTTCAGATGAGAGGGATTCAACAGAATTTACAGGCTCCAAAACCCAATCTCCTTGACTATCTGACCAAAGGTCCCCATTCCTGGTTTCAGGATCCATTTTTTCCTAACAAATGCCCTCACTTTAACTTCCGACACCAAACTGGGTTGGCAATTTAATTGGCCTTGTAATTCAGCCACCCTTACAATAAGGCTCTGTGTTTTGTTTTCAGCAATATTAGCTCTGTTACTAGAAGAAATAAGCCTTTCTTTCAGAGCACAACTGGAAACACTGAGGTCTTTTATGTGGTGCTTGAGCTATGACTCAGCAGCCCTGAACTAATCTCACTCTTGCAGCACTTTTTCTACCATAAGTACGACGAACCATCCAGCTTCCTTATACTCCTCATGCTGACAAAATTGCAGAAAAATATCAAATATGAGATCACCCAAAGGCTCACTTCTCAAAAGTACTTAATCTATTGGTGGTGCTATTTTGCATATTAATGTTGCCACTTCTTGCCACAGATTAGCAGGACCCTCTTTACTAGAGGAGGCAAGGCCACCAGTGCCTTTACAATTAATCAAATTGGAGAACCAAAACAGAATCGATGAGAACCAATTGAGGAAGCTCATCCTTATGATTTTGTCTCTCTAGAACCTCTCCCAGTACCAAATGTGTTAGGCTGGGTTCTCTTGTTTTTAGGTGCTGTTGAGTCATTTCTGAATGGAACACTGCCTTGTCCCATGCAAGCTCCATGATCCCTGCTATACTTGACCCCATTGCCACAGCCACACAGCTACTGTGACAATCCATCATCTTCTTGAAAGTCTTCCCCTCCTTTGTCGACCCTCCACCTTACCAAGCATGACATCCTTCTCCAGGGAATGATACCTTTTGACAACATGACCAAAGTAGGTGAGACAAAGTCTGGCTGGCTATTCTTCCTTCTAAGGAGCATTTCAGATGCACTTCCTCCAGGAAAGACCTGTTAGTTCTTTTAACAGTTCATGGCACTTTCAGCATTCTTTGTCAGCACCACAACTCAAAAGCATCAACTCTTCTTCGGTCTTCCTTATTCATTGTCCAGCTCTCATATGCAAACGAGGTGATTGAAAATATCATGGCTTGTGTCAGGCATACCTTAGTCCTCATGGAGACATCCTTGCTCCTCAACACTTGAAAGAATTTCTTCACAGCCGACCTGCCCAGTGCTACACATTGTCTAATGTCCTGACTGCTCTTTCTGTTGGCGTTGATTGTAGAACCAAGCAATGTGAATTCTTTGGCAACATCAATCTTTTCTCCATTTATCATGATGCTGCTTACTGGTCCAGTTGTGAGGATTTTTGTTTTCTTTATGTTGAGGTGCAATCCATACTGCAGACTGTATTCTTCAATCTTCATCAATAAGTGCCTCAATCATCCTCATTTTTCAGCAAGCAAAATTGTATCATCAGCATATCTCAAGTTGTTAATGATTCTTCCTCCAATCCTGATGCCATGCTTTTCTTCATATAGTCCAGCTTCTCAGATTATTGGCTCAGCATATAGATCAAATAAGTATGGATAAAGGATACAACCCAGACATACACCCTTCTTGATTTTAAACCATGCTGTGTCTCCTTGTTCTGTTTGAATGACAGCCTCCTGGTCAAGGTACAGGTTCCCCATAAGTACAATCAAGTGTTTGGGAATTCCCATTCTTCTCAATGTTATCCATAATTTGTCATGATCCACACAATCAAATGCCTTTGTGTAGTCAATAAAACACAAGTAAACATCTTTCTGGTATTCTTTGCCTTGAGCCAAGATCCATCTGACAACAGCTATGATATCCCTTGTTCCACGTCCTCTTCTGAATCCAGCTTGCACCTCTGGAAGTTCTCTGTCAATATACTGCTGCAAACGTTTCTGAATTATCTTCAGTAAGATCTTACTTGTGTGTGATATTAATGATACTGTTCTATAATTTCCACATTCTGTGGGATCACCATTCTTAGGAATGGGTATAAGTATGGATCTCTTCAAGTCAGTTGTCCAGGTAGCTGTCTTCCAAATCTCTTGGCATAACCGAGTGAGTGCCTCCAATGAGGCATCAGTTTGATGAAATATCTCAATGGGTATTCTGTCAATTCCCAGAGGCTTGTTCTTCTCCAGTTCCTTCATTGCAGCTTCGAATTCCTCCTTCAATATTATTGGTTCTAGATCATATGCCACCTCCTGAAATGGAGGAAGATTGACCAGTTCTTCTTTGTACAGTGACTATGTGTATTCCTTCCATCTTCAGTTGATGTTTCCTGCATCATCCAATATTTTTCCCATAGAATCTTTCAATATTGCAACTCAAGAATTAAATTTTTTCTTCAATTCTTTCACCTTCAGAAATGCCCAGTATGTTCTTCCCTTTTGGTTTTCTAACTCCAGATCTTTGCACATTTTATTATAGTAATTGGCTTTGTCTTCTTTAGCTGCTCTTTGAAATCTTTGGTTCAGCTCTTTTATCTTGTCATTTTTTCCATTTGCTTTAGCTACTCCCCACTCAAGGGCAAGTTTCAGAATCTCTTGTGTCATCCTTTTTGGTCTTCTTTTCTCATCTTTTTAATGACTCTCTGCTTTATTCATGGATGATGTTCTTGATATCATCCCACAAGTCTTCTGGTTTTCATTCAATGGTATTCAATGCATCAAATCTATTCTTTAGATGGTCTCTAAATTCAGGAGGGATTTATTCGAGATCCTATTTTGGCTCTCTTGGACTTGTTTTTATTGTCTTTAACTTAAAGTTGAACTTGCATATGAGCAGTTTATGGTCTGTTCCACAATCATCTCCTGGCCCAGTTTTGGCTGAAGATACTGAGCTTTTCCATTCTGTCTTGCCACAGATGTAGTCAATCTGACTCCTGTGTGCTCCATGTGGTGAAGTTCACGTGTACAGCCACTGTTTGTGTTGTTGAAAAAAGGTGTTTACAATCAATAAGTCATTGGTCTTGCAAAATTCTACCATGCAAGTTCCAGCATTATTTCTGTCACCAAGCCCATATTTTCCAACTATCAGTGATTCTTTGTTTCCAACTTTTGCATTCCAGTCACCAGTGATAATTAACACACCCTGATTGCATGTT